CCCGGGCCATGAACCTCTCCACCTCTACGTTGAGATGAGACGCCAGAAGGTCCACATCTGGTTTCCCCACCGAAGACAGAGTTGATGAAAAAACTCCCGGCATAGGGACCACCCCCCCGGGTCCATCGACTGGCGACTGAGTCTGGCAGGGGGCCCCCAGCCCCACAGGCTGGCAGCCGTCGTGACCACCGTCCAGCGCACTAGACGGAAGGACTCCCCGCGCACCAATGCTGGAGAGTGAAGCCACCACCGCAGGGAGGCCGCGTCAACCGAATTTTCCTGTCCAGCGACAGGGTGGACTTGACCCACAGCCCCAGAATATCCCACTGGAGGGTCCCGGTGTGGTGCTGAGCAGAAGGCACCGCCTCGAAGGAGGCCACCATGACCGTGGACAGGACTCGGCCCAGATACTCCAGGCGCGGCGAAGGCACCAGACAAGACTTCCGGAGATCCAGGATCCACCCGAACTACTCTAAGGAGCGCACAGTGACCTCCCGAGCCGACACCAGAGAGGAGTGCAAATCCGCAGAAGCAGATCGTCCAAATACCCCACGATCGAGATTCCCCCGGCAACACAAGAGCGCCAGAACCAAGGCAAGCACCTCGGTGAACCCCCGCGGGGGCGACGCGAGGCCGAAAGGCAGCGCCACAACTGGAAATGCTCTTCCCCCACCGCGAAACGAAGATATCACTGAGGAGACACGCAATAGGCACAGGAAGGTAGGCCTCCTTGATGTAGATGGAGGCCAACAGGTCCCCCTGACCAAGTCACATCACCATGGACCGAATTGATTCCATGCGTAAACGACGGACCCGCACAAAAGAGTGTGGGCGTTTGAGGCCCAGGATGGACCGAACCCTCTCTCACTTAGGCACAGTGAACAGATGTGAATAAAAGCCCCGCAACCGTTTTGAGAACGGAACCGGCACGAGCAGCCCCTGGGACAAGAGGCCCACCACTGCGCGATGAAGATCCGCCAGGCGTGGAGGGGAAAGGCCTGAGGTGGACGAGAAAAATCTGTGTCCCGGACAGGGCAGAAAGTCGATCTTGTAGCCAGAGAAAACCAGCTCCCGAACCCAAGCGTCGGAGACGTGAGTCACCCATAGCCAACCCAAGCCCCCATAGGGTCCACAACCAGGCACACCGCTGGCCAGGGCAGGAGCCCTGGGAGGTAGGGACACAGGAGGAAGGGCATTTTGCCCTGATCCAAGATGGCGGCCGCGGAGCCGCCTGGAGGCCGCAAATGAGACCTGGGCCTCGAGTAGTGGCCGTGGCCACCGCACGGACCGCGGCTGCGCCGGCGGTCCAAACTGACGACCCTCAGCCGACCCAAGCTTCTCTACAGTGCTCACACCCAGGCACACCGCTGGCCAGGGCAGCCCCCGCTGGCCAGCCAAGCATCCAGGCCCCATGAGGGAGAGGGAGGGGGGAAGCTGAAAAGCTGCAGCTGGGACAGACCCAGTGCAGCCAGCTTACCTGAGAGCCGGTTGCCACAGCACAGGCACAGCAGATACTTACCAGGCCCAGGCGTGCAGGGAAGCAGCGAAAGGCCAGCGCCCCCGACCGCAGACGCGGCGCCACCAGCCTGCAGGGAGTGCTGTGACAGGCGGGCCAGGACCCGCAGACACCCATAGGGACTACTAGTCGCAGCCGACCCACCGTGGAAGAGTCTGCATGCGCTCGACGGCCACCCAGGGGAGACTACAAGGATCCATCTCCATCCAGCATGTCGCCCTGGTGACACTTGCTAGAAGAATCGCGAAAAAAAACGGAAGGAAATAAATTTTCCAGAGAAATTTTTTTAGCTCCTTACTCCTGACGCTAGGCAAAAAAACGGAGACTTGTCAGCAGGTGGGGGGTTTGGCCACCAGCAGGGGCCGCCCCTAGGCTGTCTTTTGTCTTTTTGTTATGTGCCTAGCATCCTACTCCTGCAGGTGGCGATATACCCTACCATACAGGATCTACGATCTGTTGCCCTGTGTCCTTCAATGAACGGTAGAGAAAGATTGTTTTTATAATGATGATATAACCGTGGTCTAAATTTAACAATCATGGGCAGCAGTAATAACAAATAGTGGGTGTTAGGAGGTACAGATCAGCTATCTACCTTCGGTACTCTAATCTCCAAAGAGTATGTTCTTTACTAAAGCGGGTAGTGTAAGAGTAGAGTCAATAGGGTATTGTAGTGGGATTTTGACATTAACCCATATACAGTATTTCTTATTGATATTAATCAGCATACACACTGTTATTAAAATTATTATAGTTAACTACTGAAAGTTTTTGCCTTGCAGAGCATTTCACATATACGAGTTACATTTAAGATTAATCTTCAGCTCGCGGTATACTGAGCTTAGGGTGATGGGAAGACGCTAATTTGTGTCCTGCCGTTACCCTAAGGAGAACTATGGGGAAAAGCCCTGACCCGATAGTTCTCCTTTAATCACTGATAACACTAAACTGATGAACAGTAAAAGCGTTTTAATCGTCACCTATTGGCGTTTTTTGCGATTTTTGCGGGCGCACGCAATTTAAGGCTTGACATGTTTGGTGTCTATTTACCCGACGTGACCCTGACTTTTATGTTTTACTAAAAATATGGGTAAGAATAAATGTTTTATAACATAACGTAGGGAAACTTTTTTTTTTACATTTATGGTACTTTTCTAATTATATAGTTTAAAAAAATACCCCCCGTGGTGCTTATATACCTCCAAAAGAAATCTCTATCTGTCCCCAAACTTTTTTAACATAAATTGGAAGGCTATAGTCCGGTCATGCTGACTGGTGAAATTTTTGACTGACTGGTGAGACACTATCAAATTTTACAAGCCCTGTATATATACATACATATATATATTATACATACATGAATACACACACAAGAACAAATGGACCCACAGTACATTGCAAAATAAATATATTCCTCCCTCATCTATTATGGTGTGTTTGCAGGTTACTGGTATATTCCTATGTATAAGAATACTATTTTAGAATAAGAGGCATGACAGGAATAAAATTAATTTTTCCCTGAGGCCTACAAAGGAGATTAGTGGTGTCTTTTGTAAATGTGTTTCCTACACACACTATGGCTGGCTGATATTTTGCCAAAGCACTAAACAACGATTTATACTTCATTGGTCTGTGAATACCACTTATGTTCTAAGAGAGGAATCTAAGTTGCAGTTTAGCCATTGAAGTCCCGGTCTCATATCTTGAACAGGATAGATCTCTGTGCATCTGTAAACTACAGAAACTTAAAGAAATCATGTAGAATTTAAGACCTCATCCCAAGCAGTCTCAAACTTGAAGGGAGGACACTGAAATAAAGAAATATGTTTTACCCTTGGCCACCACATTAAGCTTAGAGGGGTATAGCATGGAATAGGCGATATGCAAACTTACCAGTCGAAGTTTAACAGCCATCATTATCAGTTTATCATCTATCATTGTGAGCCTTAACATTCCTAGGTACATGTGAAACAGTTGATAAACTGCTGAGCCTGTATGTCCCAACTTCTACTATCCTTAAACTACAAAAGAAAATGTAATATATTTCAGCCTACCAATCCTTAAATTGTGGCAGCTGCATTAATGTTCTTTTTTCTCTCCTTTTGTTTACCTGGTATTCCGGCCAGTAAGACACTTCATGTCCTTGGGTGGCATCACTCTATGGAAGAGCAGTGGAACCACCTTTGGACAGCAGCATTGCCACTCTGTAGCTTTAGATACACTAGCAGATTTAGATGGACTTCACTAACAAATTAAAGCTGAACCCCAGCTAACACACCTTAAGCAGTTACAGCAACAGTTTTTTTCTTTCCTTCTGGAATAAATGTTTTACATAAATGAATAAAAGCTGACCATTGTGAGCACCCCTGTCAGTGTTAAATGGTTTGTCTCAACCCTCTATCTGCCACTTTTGCTGGACATCTTCGTAGTTAAAGAACGTTAAAAACAAGCTAACTTTCAGCAGGTGAAAATACAACCACATCTGGAAGCATTCTGTTTACATTCACTTGTTCAGAATACTCCATTAGAAGCCCAGAAGCTGGAGGTTTCAGCTCATTGGCTTCGTCCTGCACCCCAGCTGTCAAAAACAAAGCCTGTAGGAGCCCCCGAGACTTGTCACCAATTTAAAACAGTGCAGGGATGAATGACCCCTACTCCAGCATGGTTTTAAAACAGCTGGGACTAAAGTGGTTAATCAGCTTTCCTCAAAGACATGAAATGTAAAATTGAAGGTATGGAAATACTTCTACTAAAAAAAATATAAATAATTCAAATGAATGACTGTCAAGTTTTTCTTTATTGATTTTTTTTTAACAAATCCAAACAAAATTCATAATGTACAAGTAAACATAAGTGTTGTTTAAAAATACAGCTAAAAGTAAATATTAAAGAAGGTATGTCAAACAAAAGATTTAATGATCTAATAACACACCATGTTGTCTGCACATTACCACAGCAGCACGCTAGCAGATTAGCTGTTGGAAGAATTTGATGTGACCTCAGAAGATCACTGCAAGTGACACCAAACTCTTCCACAACCTAACCTCCTCACAAAAAAAGGGGCAAAGCTTAACAGTATGGAACCAGTGCTTACCTGGTAGGGATGAGTGTCTTAATCTCACCCTTTCAAAATACTTTGAAACTTATGAAAAAGAAAAGCAATGCCTATCTTCAATACGCACCTGATTTGCAGCATATCCTTTTCTCCAAGATTACAGTTGCAATTTAGATAGGAGAATGCATTTAATATGTTTTATTTTCATGACAATGTCAGCATATGTGGATCTGTTAATGCTAATTCAGGTAAAAACATACTCTGCTGGCCTTAATAGTTTATGATTATGACTGCAAGAGAACAAGCCGTTGCTGCATAACTCTACTTAGTGGCAATATAATTCATCTATTGAGCTTGACCAGCTAAAGTAGATCAAAGCAAAAGGAGGAGAAAAAAATCAAATGCATAACTAATTGTATGTGCATTCTAAAGAAGCGTGTGTGCTAGCAGTATCAAATGTGAGTGAAGAAACTTTAAATTAAAAAAAATAAATTAAATAAAACAACATTACAAGTTGCTTAAACTAAGTTAATTTCCAGCACATAGTTTAATACTTCAAATCAAAAAGCCTCCAGATTTTCTGGTATTGTTAGTTATGTCTTCCTGAGTTGATACAATTGAGCATCTATAATCCAACAGCTGATAGAGAAGGAATGATACAAGCTTTCTTCTGCTAGACAGAATAATAAGTCCAAAGGCAACTTTAAGTAGAAAATGAGACAAATGTTTAAGAGGAAAAAGAACCAGTGCACAAAAATGATTGCCTTGATAAGAAACTGTGAAGAGATAAGTCAGCCATGTTGAACTCTTCCAAAGGATGGTCTTGCTTTTTTGCAACAGGTAATGAGGGTAGTTCTGACTGGTGTGGATCATGACTGATAGATTCATTGTGCAGGTCAAGAGATTGCTGATCCTCCTGATTAGGACAAGAGGATGCGTGAAGTCTGCAAGGAAACTGATCTTTATTGCAAGAGCAGGTATTGTCCTGAGAGGAGCTTTTCTTGGGTCCAGCTACATTCATAAAACATGCCAGAAAACAATTAATGAGATGTTATAACAGATATTAAAGTGGTATTTGCATATTCAGAAGCAGTGGTTTAAACTATAATATGTTATACATAACCAGTGAAATACTGATTGCTATAATGAGGTAGATATTTACTGATCCGTACTTGGCAATGTCGATTATGTTCAATAATTCAGGTTAACATTTTTTAATACACACAAACTATATTGCCAAAAGTATTGGGACGCCTACACGCACATAAAACTTAATGGCATCCCAGTCTAGTCCGTAGGGTTCAATATGGAGTTGGTCCACCCTTTGCCGCTATAACAGCTTTAACTCCTCTGGGAAGGCATCAACAAGGTTTAGGAGTGTGTCTATGGGAATGTTTGACCATTCTTCCAGAAGCGCATTTGTGAGGTCAGGTACTGATGTTGGACGAAAAGGCCTGGCTCTCAGTCTCCGCTCTAATTCATCCCAAAGGTGTTCTATTGGGTTGAGGGCAGGACTCTGTGCAGGCCAGTCGAGTTCCTCCACCCCAAACTCACTCATCCATGTCTTTATGGACCTTGCTTTGTGCACTGGTGCGCAGTCATGCTAGAACAGGAAGAGGCCATCCCCAAACTGTTCCCACAAAGGGAGCATGAAATTGTCCAAAATGTCTTGGTATGCTGATGGCTTAAGAGTTCCCTTCACTGGAACTGAGGGTCCAAGCCCAACCCCTGAAAAACAACCCCACACCTTAATCCCCCCTCCACCAAACTTTACACTTGGCACAATGCAGCCAGGCAAGTACCGTTCTCCTGGCAACGGCCAAACCCAGATACGTCCATCGGATTGCCAGACAGAGAAGCGTCAGTAGAGTTCTCAAGCATGCACTTTACTGGCCTGGTGTTTTTTCTGTTAAGGAGGGTCACTTGCCGATCTGCGGTGGGTATAGCCCACCATTTCAAAGAATTCCTCTCAAAAGGAAACAGTTCTAATACACATTTAGATTGGGTTGAGGAGTGCTTCCAGTCTTCATAGAGGAGAACACTGAGTGGCGGGTGTAGTGGAAAGGTCTTTGCAGTCACAGGGGTGCTGAAAGAACCAAGGCTGAAGACAGCAGACAGAAGCATAGTAGTACATACTACATTAATAAGGGCAGAAACAGTCTCTTGTACGTCTGAGGAAATGGCAGGAGACTGAGGTTCCCCTAAAAACCATTTTATCAAAAAGAGACTGTCAGAGATGGTCACTGTGATGAGTGGCTCAGCCACTTCTAGGGAGGTCATAGATAGACTCTGCAGAGGAAGGCATGTGAGACCACTTAGAGTCTCTGTGGTCAGCATCCATGAGAAAATTGCGGAATTTGGCCACAAAAGCCTTGTGTGACTGCCGTAGAGGCCCCTGACGACAAGGCAGAAGACTCTGCCACACCCGAAGGAGCCAAAAGGAACTCCAATGAGGAAGATGCTATAACTACAGAGTAACAGGTTTCCAGATTGCAAATGTGAGTGCCCTGAGAGGGTACAGAAAACAACCGTGTGGCAGTGATGCAACTAAGCTCAGGGACCTGATAGCTAATAAGGGTCTGAATGTGGGGGGTGATCAAGGTCACTGTAGACAGGCAGTAGGAACAGACCAAAGATCAGAGTTCCATGAGTCTCTCTTGCAAAGCATTCCAGGGCAAATTTGTTATTAGAACGGGATCTGGAAAGCGCCAAACATGGAACAGAATTCTCAAAGATCAGTTCCCGGCTGGCCACGACACTGCAAAGCTAGGCTGACAAAAGGCAGATGCATATATGCTATACACTGCCAGTTTATTATGACCACCTGACATTTGTAGGCAAATTAGCTATAATTAGCTATAATTTCGCGCTGAAGTTGCTAGAGGGCCAGACAATTATAAATAGGGAAGCAGGTTGTTTACCACAACAGGAGAAGTAATTTTTTCTGAAGATATGGGTAAACAACGCGATTTAACAGCCTTGGAACGTGGGATTGTGGCCGTCAGCGCCTAGTCAATGTTAAGGCAGAACGAAGAGTGGCAAGACTGGTACAAGACAACAGAAGGGCAGCAGTGCAGTGTCAGATTCCTCGCATCACCTTTCAACATCTCGTGGAATCACGAGGCGGCCCAACGAAGTCATCTCGTGGCCCAACAAAGTACTGATGGGGTGGTCATAATAATCTGGCCACTCAAGGTATAAAAACTAGCTGATGCAGTGATGTAGGAAGGAATCATGATTGAAGAAGAAAGTCTAAAGGCGAATTGAAGAAAACAAATAGCCAAAAAATGGTTAGACTTTTCTCAGCAAAACTGAAGAAAAGACATTCATGCTCCTAGCACACAAGATAGAAAGTGAAGCATGTTGGCTATAGGAGGGGATATCCTGGGCTGGCCTCCATATTTTTTGGCTTGCCATTATCCAATCTACCTTTAGGCAGCAGTATAACCCAACAGTATTTGACATCCTGTGCCCCAAAATTAACAGGAAAAACAAATATACTTTACAACAAAATTGCAGAAATGTGATATGTTAACTGAGAACTAAATGAGAAGGAACATAAAAATTGCCAGTTGGAGTTACCTGTCAAGGTTGTCTTTGAAAATGTTGGTTGCCTGGCTATTTCTGGCTTAAATATTTCATAAACCCAGAACAAACATGCAGCAAGTCATATTCTGAAATTTTTATCTTTATACTTTGAATCAGTGACTAAGACATGTTGAAACTAAAGCATCAGAAGTACAGCCAAAACAACTAACATTTTCAAAAGCAGAGGCTAGCAATGCAAGTCCATGTATTGCTTTTGTATTGAACATGAACTTGGCACACACTAAATGTCAACGAAGGATACAAAGCTAACTTTCTGAAACTTAGGGCCATGTCTTAAATTAAGGCAGTTTGTAGAAGGGGGGAGGATTTACAACTGGACAGAATGTCAATCTGTGAAATGGCTAACTGATAAACTCCACCAAGCAAGGCATAGTTTGAGACATACTTCATCTCCTATTACAAGGCCAAAAACTCCATGGAACATTATATTTCCTTACAACAGTACTGTCAAAAACAACATAATAGATTTATTTATATTTTACATACAGTCATAGCCAAACATATTGGCACCCCTGCATTTCTGTGACATAATACACCACTGCGCACAGAAAACTGTTGCCATTACAAATGTTTAGGCATTCTCATGTTTATTTCTTTTGTTTGTATTGGTATGACACAAAACAGTGGAAAAAAAAAATCCAAATCTGACACATTCCACGCAAAACTCCAAAAATGGACTGGACAAAATTATTGGCACCTTCTCCACATTGCAAGAAATAATTGCATTTCAAGTTTTTGTGGAAAAGCATGGACATTCTCAAGGTTACAAGTCCATCTCCAGAGATCTTAATTAGGGATGCACCGATACCGGTATTTTGGTATCGAGTACCGATATTTTTCTTTCGGTACTCGCCGATACCGAATAGCGATACCAGAAGTCCCATTAAGGAAGCCAGGCCGTGTGTAATTACTCGCCATCTGATTAGCCGGGAAGCTGGGCGGCGTGTAAAAGACTCGCCACTCAGCTTCCCGATAAGCAGAGAAGCCGTCTCCATGCTTCTCGTCACTACATGATGAGAAAGCATGGAACCGGCTTTCTGCCCAATCGGGAAGCCTGGCGCTGTGTAGTGACGCGGCAGCCGGCCTCCTGATTGGCCGGGAAGCCGGCTCCATATTCCCTCGTCATGAGGTGATGAGAGAGCATGAAGCCGGCTTCCCGGCCAATTAGAGAGCCGTGCGCTGCGTCTTTACACGTCGCCCCGCTTCCTGATTGGCCAGCTTCCCGACCAATCAGAAAACCAGGCAGCGAGTCATTACATGCTGCCCGGCTTCCTGATTGGCCGGGAACCCGGCTCCATGCAAGTGACAAGGGAGCATGGAGCCGGCTTCCTGGCCAATCAGGAAGCCGGGCAGCGTGTAATGACTTGCTGCCCGGCTTCCTGATAATGGAAGCTCGGGTATAGGGCTAGGCATTGGAGCATTTGGGTGAGTACTCGCCATCGGCACTGATACTAGTATCGGTGCATCCCTAATCTTGTGTGCCCACTTCCTGTGTCCACTGTGCGCAACATTGTCAAGAAATTTACAGCCCATGGCACTGTAGCTAATCTCCCTGGACGTGGACGGAAGAGAACAATTGATCAAAGATTGCAACGAAGGATTGTTCTAATGGTGGATAAAGACCCTCGATCAACTTCCACACAAATTCAAGCTGACCTTTAGGCACAGGGTACAACTGTGCCAGCTCGCACTATACGTCGCCATCTGAATGAAAAGGGACGCTATGGGAGGAGACCCAGGAGGACCCCACTGCTGATACAGAAACATAAAAAAGTCAGATTGGAGTTTGCCAAAACGTACCTGGAGGAAGCCAAAATCCTTTTGGGAGAATGTGCTGTGGACAGATGAAAGAAAAATGACAGCTTTTTGGTAAAGCCCATCATTCTACTGTTTTCAGAGAAAGAAATGAGGCCTTTAAAGAAAAAAAAAATACAGTCCCTACAGTCACACATGGTGGAGGTTCACTGATGTTTTGGGGTTGATTTGCTGCTTCAGGCCCTGGATGTCTTGACTGTGTGCATGGCATTATGAAATCTAAAGTCTACCAAAGAATTCCGGGGTGCAATGTAGGGCCCAGTGTCAGAAAGTTGGGTCTCAGTCAGAGGTCATGGGTCTTACAGGAGGACAATGACCCAAAGCACACGTCAAAAAGCACCCAGAAATGGTTTCAGACAAAGTGCTGGAGAGTACTGGACTGGCCAGCAATGAGTCCAGATCTGAATCCCATAGAGCGCCTGTGGAGAGATCTCAAAACAGCTGATGGGAAAAGGAACCCTTCCAATCCGAGACCTGGAGCAGCTGGCAAAAGAAGAATGGTCCAAAATTCCTGTAGAGAGGTGTAAGAAACTAATTGATGGTTATAGGAAGCGATTGATTTTAGTTATTTATTCCAAGGGCTGTGCTACCAAATATTGAGGGTGCCAATAATTTTGTCAAGTCCATTTTTGGAGTTTTGCGTGGAATGTGTCAGATTTTGCTTTTTTGTATCATACCAATACAAACAAAAGAAATAAACATGAGAATGCCTGAACATTTGTAATTGCAACAATTTTCTGTGCAAAGTGGTGCATTATGTGACAGAAATGCAGGGGTGCCGATATTTGTGGCCATGACTATGTTTAAAAAGGAAAACCTGTAGTGAGGATTTATGGAAGTTACAATTCTTGACTTCTAATACAATATCACTTTACTGTAAAGCTTGTTCATTCCCTCCTGCCCCCTCATTCAATCCTATTAACCCACCACTATGATGGGCTCCCTCAGTGGCCAATATAAATGTGTGAGAAGCAGGAAGAGGTGGTCAGGTTTCAACATTACCAGGAGTGAATAGCCTTTTTCCTAACAGCCGTTCATTTTGTCAGAGCCACAAAGTTATAGAGGAGAGTAATAAAAGGTCTGAAATGGTTGGGTGTTTTCCCAGTATGTTGACACTTTGAAGAAAGAGAATAATAGCAGGAAAAGATAGGACAGAAAGGAAGATGGAGAAGGGGTACCCATGACTGCCTAGACTTCTCTTTGTATACAAATCCATTTAATTTCCATTCACAGCGGTCCCCTAACGTACACACAAGATGGTATCAAAAATAGACCTACCTCCAACCCCTTTGTTGAATACAGAGCCACGTAGTGCATACTGACATTTTGAATTTGGCACATCACTTTCATACTCTCTGGTGAATGAAAAAAACATATTCCCTATTAGTTTACACAATAGTGTTGTTTGTAAGGACCTTTTGCACATAAGTTGTTTAGTCTAAATTTTTACTAAAATGTTAACAGTATGTGTAGAGAAAAAAATATATGCTCCACTTTTCTGACAATATAGTGCAAGGCTGAAAAATTCCAGTTCTTGATGGCAATGTACAGGCTTGAATTTTCCAGCAGTAAAGCTGCCCATACACCTTGCGATCAGACAAAACTTTTCGCCTGATGAACGAACCGTCGTACGATTTTTGTACTGCGGCCCCGATTAGCGTAAGGTTGAATCAGCAGTAATTAAAAGAAAGCACCTGAACGAATTGCGGTAATCGACTGCACGTATTTTCGTCTGCGCATGAGCAGTGTAAATTGTACGAATTTTGGACCTACAGAAACGCCACCAACCTTGCGAAAATCATACGATCGACCAAAGTTTTCTAACCTGCTGGTTAGTCAAAAATCGATTGATTGTACCGTATTAGCGGTTGTACACTGCCCATCAACCTTACGAATATCGGACGAAAACGCAATCGCATAAGAAAATCGGCCGATATTCGTAAGGTGTATGGGCAGCCTAAAGGTGCCCATAGACCTTACAACCATCGCAACACTTTTGTCTTGCGATGGTTGTAAGGTAATTAAAAAAACGTACAATCTGCCCATCTTGGACAGGCAGATCGTACTTGCGATCATCGCAAGCCCCCCCTCCCCCCACTGCTGAACGGGCAGTGTGCGCTTGCGCACAGCGGCAATTATCTTACGAGCATGCCACAAACCAGCCGAAAATCGTACGATTCTCGGCTGGTTTTTTAAACATGTTTGTAAGACAAAAGTCGTGCGACCGTACAGTAGAAACGGTCGCACGCCTTCCACACACCTTGCGATTATCGTAGGATCGCGGGATTTCCCGCGATTATCGTACGATAATCGCAAGGTGTGTGGGCACCTTAACACTAGGTCTGATTTTTGCACAAACTTTTACTGACATGTAATTGTAGAAGTCCTACACTTGTGGAGGGATCCAAATCCAGCATTTGTTCAGGGATGTTTGTTCTGGTATATGGATGAACAGTTTTTTTTTTTATAAGGAAGCAACTTTACAGAACAAAGATTTCTCGCTGTACTAATACTTACAAGGATGCTGCATTTATCAGCTGTTTTCTCCTCCCCATCCGACTCTGAGTGAAATGCTCATAGCGCTCAGACTTCTTCCAACTGTAGTAAAACTGGACACACTCCCCTACTGACCGTGTGCGCACCTGAGAGTAAATAAAAGTGGGAGTTTACATCTTGACAGAGACGCCACTAGAAAAACATAGACAGGGATGTCTTAAAATTACACTTTCAATTAAACATTTTTGTTGTCATGTGTACAGGCCTTGTATGAATCCACTCCAGGTATTTGCAGGTTTAAAAAAAAAAAGACTTTACACATTATAATAAAATCATGATATTCCCTTTAGTTAAAAAAAACAATATTAATACCACTATAAATAATTTAAAACAATGGGTCTCAATCAGTTTCTGAGTACCCTATGGGGCATTTTTTAGCAGTTACTTCAAGTGGACCTTGCACTAAAAAGTAAAGTTGGCCCCCTCCCCCATATGCAATTGCAGAGTTTCCTTTAAAATAAAAACCCTGCAGGAAAAAGTAAATGCACTTAACAGCTTCTTCCTGCAGTGCTTAGGCGTGTTTGTGTGTATGTATATACAGTAGGTATAGGAAAGAATCACCCCCCTTTAAAATTACATTTTGTTGCTTTGTAGCCTGAAATGAAGACAGGCACAGTTTTTGTTTTATCCATCTATATTTACTCAGTGCCACTTATAAGTGCCGGTTCACACCATATGCCGTTGTGATGCAGTCCGTTTATTTGACTGCTGCAGTCAAAATACATCACAATGCTTTCCTATGGTCTTTCTTGTGGTTTATGCACACTGCAATGGTGTGAATAAAGCACAAGAAAGCCCATAGGAAAGCATTGTGATGTATTTTGACTGCATCAGTCAAATAAACGGACTGCATCACAACTGCATATGGTGTGAACTGGCCCTAACATCCAAGTGAAAGATATAACACCAACATGTCAGAAAAAATTAATTCAAAAACAGAATCAAAGAGTTGGAAAAAGAATCACCCCTTCCTAAAAATGACTTGTAGGGGGGCGTGGCCAACGCATGGAGCTGAACAGTCGCACCTGAGCAGAGCTCCCGCTACAGCCCGACAAAAATTGCCGTTTTACAACCCGCATCTTCACCGAATCTTAGCCTCACTAAGCTTAGTTATGGGGAGGAAGGGCCAGCGATCATCCGGATCGAAAAAAGTGGCCTCAGGCACCCTGAAACGGTACTTAATTCCGGAACAGCATACGTCTCCCGCCACCGCTTCGCGGCCTACCACGAGGCAGCCTCCTGCGGACCGGACGGCAGCTCACGCCGCTACACACCCATCACAACTCCCGGATCCTCCAGCGACTCTGATTCCCCCTCACATGGGCCACTATCAGCCGATATGCAGGTGTCGGACGTCATGAGAGATCTCCCGACGAAATCGGACTTGGCCCACATGTTTCAGACTCTGGAATCCTCGCTCAAACAGGATCTGTCTAATGTGAGGTCTGACCTTTCACACCTACTGCCCCGGGTGGAAGAGTCGGAGACCCGCCTGGATGGCCATGATCGGGAAATCCGGGAACTCAAAGAGTCACAGCGTAAGCTGGCATTCGGGCACCGCTCTCTCCTGTACAAAGTAGAGGACCAGGAGAACCGCAACCGGCGGAATAATCTTCGGATCCGGGGACTGCCGGAAGCCACGGCGGACGCTGATCTCCCGGACTCCCTCCAAGGTATATTTAACTCCATACTAGGTCGACCGGCTACTACACCCCTCCGATTTGATAGGGCACACCGGGCCCTGCGTCTTCAGGCCCAGGTACGGGTTAACGGAGTGCTCAGCCCTTCCTTCTCCCTGGGGAATGGCACGCGGCAGGGGTGCCCTTTGTCGCCCCTGCTGTTTGCCATTTCCCTTGAACCTTTTTTGTCCACCATAACACATAACGTCAACATCGGAGGAGTGCAGGTGGGTTCCAGAGAACATAAATACGCGGCGTACGCGGATGACATTTTATTTTACATTAGTAATCCACGCATATCCCTTCCGAATTTATTAATTGAACTCAAAAAATATAATAAGCTGTCCAATTTCAAAATTAATCTCTCAAAATCCACTATTCTGAACCTGACTGTGCCCCCCGCTGAAGCTAGAGCCCTACGATCTTATTTCCCCTGGCAGTCTCATAAATTAAAGTGTCTGGGGGTTCACTATGCCCCCCGTCTGAAGGACTTATTCCGCTATAATTATATGCCAATATTGAATGAGATACGAGCAGACCTGAACCGTTAGTCCCCTCTTTACCACTCCTGGCTGGGCAGAATAAATCGTAAAAAAAAAATGACTTGTAAACTCAATCAGGTGTAGCTAATCCCCTTCTCAATGGCACACAAAGCCATTTGATTTCAAGTGTGGTCAGCTGTGGTCATTTTGATTAGCTCAGCATTTCAGTCCCTGATAGTGCAACTGAAGCAAACAATCAACTATGGGCGGCAAGGCACTGTCAAAAGATCTCCGAGATGAAGTTGTGGACAGGCACAAGTCAGGAGATGGATACAAAAAAATTCAAAGCCTTTATCAATGCATAGAAGCACAGTGAAGTCTATTGTTAAGAAGTGGAAGGTAATTGGTAGAACACAGACCCTACCTGGATCAGGACTTCGTTCCAAACTGGATGAAAGAGCCAGGAGGAAACTGGTCAGAGAGGCTACCAAGAGACCTACAGCAACTCTGAAGCAGTTGGACTAATTTATGACAATGAGTGGTCATTGTGTGCATGTGACAACAAAACCACTAATTCTCCACAAATGCGGCTTGTATGGGAGGACTGCAAGAAAAAAGCCACTACTCAAGAAAGGTCACATGCAGTCATGAGCTTTGCCAAAACACACCTTGAAGATTCAGAGGTCACATGGAAAAAGGTGTTATGGTCAGATGAGACTAAAACAATATGTCTGGTGGAAATCTAATACAGCTTACCATCCAAATAACACCGTTCCTACAGTAAAGCATGGAGGTGGTAGTATCCTGTTATGGGGTGTTTCTCTGCAGCAGGAACTGGAGATCTTGTCAGGATAGAAGGAAAAATGGATGGGGCAAAATACCGTCATATTTTTGAAGAAAATCTGCTGCCCTCTGCCAGAAAGTTATCAATGGGAAGAAAGTTTACCTTCCAACATGACAATGACCCAAAGCACACAGCAAAAATGACTACAAAGTGGTTGAAGGAGAAATAGGTGAATGTCCTTGCATGGCCCAGTCAGAGCCCAGACTTAAACCCCATTGAAAATCTGTGGAATGACTTGAAGACTGCAGTCCACAAACGGTCACCATCAAATGTAACTGAACTTGAGCAGTTCTGCAAAGAAGAGACATATACCAACAGACTAAAGGCTGTAATAAAGCAAAATGTAGTTCAACAAAATACTGACACACGGGGGTCATCCTTTTTCCAACTCAGTGATTCTGTTTTTGAATTTTGTTTATTTTTTTCCGACAAGCTGGTGTTATATCTTTCACTTGGATGTTATAAGTTGCACTGAGTAAATACAGCTGGATAAAACAAAAACTGTGTCTGTCTTTATTTCAGGCTGCAAAACAACAAAAATGTGACTATTTTAAAACAGAGGTAATTATTTTCTATACCGTGCGTGTGTGTGTATCTACATATATATTAAAACAAACATATTAAAAAAAAATAATATATATATACACACACACATACATATACACACCTTACACATATATACAGTAAAGTAATGTTTGGCCTCCTGGTATGTACTCTAGCTGTACCTTTTAGGAGGAGGTCTCAAAGTTGGGAAACTCAGATAGTGTAGAGTTATTATAATATTTGCTTATCCTGGAGATCAACTTTAAAGAAGTTTAGTCCAAAGCATGTTGGCAGTAACTGTACTGTATTTCAATATTACTTGTGAGAGAATGCTTCATTTCCTGGTAAAGCAGCAGGTGATGTTGCCATCTGTTTGTAACAATCACATCTAGCTCACTGCATTGGTGGGCCAAACTCATTCTCTGCAATAGCGAAATGTCAGAGGAAAGTTCTTGATGGGGAATTTCTGATGCCAGGTAAATGTTATCACACCACTAACATCAGGTTAAGTCTCACAATAATTGTGGTTTTGAACTCCTGGTCACCTGACATGTCACTTGGGATGCCTGGGAAATGTAAACAACACATCATTTTTAATTATTAAGCAATGCAAATGGAATCCTGAAGATGACGTTTCTGCTTATTAGTAACCTGATGTTCCATTACAGAGCATTTACTAATGCACAGGGGCAGTTTAAAATCATCGTAGAGTACAGCCACATGTGGTTCAATATGAAGCAAGTGTACAAAAAAAGAGACACCCTAACTAGACAGTTGATTTAATTATACCAGGAGATTAAGGTTGTGCTTTAAATATGTGGCTCTCAGACTATGACTTGTTCATGTAAACTATCATATCAGGATTACAACACACAGATGCTATAAACGTCAAAACACTTATGTCTGCACCAATATACAATATAAACATTAAAACATACATTAAAAGCAATGGCTCCAACTTGCTTACCATTGACACCGGCCTACATGATGTATATGTTTGTAATAATATTACAAACCTCTCACCTTGTTAGCCTGGATGAGATGGAAATTTTTCCCATACACCCGAAACCCTTGCTCAAAACTTCTACATTCATCTTCACTCCAAGCACACAGCTGACCTAGGCAAAGTAAAAAATAAAATAAAGCGTTTAACCCTTTAGCTGCCAAGCCCTCCGGAACTTTTTGCACCTCAGCTGGCCACACCATTTTTGCAATTTTTGCAAAAGTTTCTCAAATTCATATAAAACAGATACAAATACACAATTCAATTGATAAAGCACTAAAATCAGTATCTGTGCACAAAAAAAATATATTTTCTGACAAAATCTAAAAGATAATCCTGTATTGAGTTAATAAATAACAAATATTTGCAAATTTTTAATTGCGCCTTTTTGCTTAAAGGAGAACTATGGGGTCAGTGTTTTTCCCCATAGTTCTCCTTAGGGTAACGGGAGGACACAAACTAGCGTCCTCCCGTTACCTTAAGCTCAGTATACCGCGAGCTACAGCTCGCGGTATACTGAGACGCAGCAGCTGGATTGGATCCCGACGTAGATGACGGGATCCGCCCAGCTGCATGAGTGACAGCTGGTTCTACTGAGCCGACCTGTGACAGTCTCATTGTCACAGGTCGGCTAGAACTATGAGGTGAGTGAAAATCACTCATCTCATAGTTCTCCTTTAAAGGTTAAAAAAAATGAAGGAACGCAAAACTGTATAAGCGACTTATGTTAAGAATAGTTTTTGCGCTGTGTTGGTGTTGTGATAAAATGATACAGAAGTACATTTAATTGCAACACAAGATCAGACCCCTGACATTTCCCTTTTGAAATAGAAAAAGAAATTGAGGCCCTGTCCTCAATTTCTTTTTCTGCAGCCTCAGCAATCAATGAATGGGAAGCTCTCAGTACATTCATTCCCATTCCCATTCATTCACAAACCGTTGATAGTAAAATATTTACTATCAAGCAGTTTCTGAATGGGGAGGAGCCTCTGTACTGAGTGCTTCTCCCCATTGAGAAAATCATGAATGAACAGGAAGAGATGTAAATCACATCCTGTTCATTCATAACTGGGGACACATAGTACTATGTGTCCCTAGTTATTTACAAACACTGGAGTGATCAGACGATCACTCCAGTGTTTGCTCTCCACAGAGGATCGGTAATATTACTGATCTTTACCCATCCTCCGCTCGGCCACGCACACAGCCGCTGTCATCCTGAAACTGACAGGATGACATCGGCTCCGATCTCCTCACCGCCCAATCATAGTGATCGAGCGGCTCACTCCTCCGAACCCCCGCCAGACATTTTTTGGATCCCCACTGCCTCAGCCCATACAAGTGGGGGAAAGAGCAGCGGGGATCCATGCAGACACAGATCTGCAGTACTGCAAATGCCACCGCTGTAAGGCATACTGACCTGGCCATTTGGGAACAGTATGCCTTACGGCGGTGGCAGGGAAAGGGTTAAAAACATATTTGCTCTGATTTCAGCACAAGAATTCTTTGAATGCAAAAATGATTTAGCATACACGTGAAGTCTCAGGCATAGAACAAGGAACCTTGTCCTTTTATTTACTTCATTGCCAAGCCCTTACCTTGTACTACCTTGACATTAAAGTGAAGTCTTCGGAGAGCCTCTTCTGTGTGAAATCTACATTTCACCAATTCATAGAGAGCCTGTAATTAAAGGAAAACTTTCCATTAAATAGAACGAGTAATACTTTTTTGAAACAAGTGATAGAAATTAATATAAATGAATAAGAGTTGTCAAACATGGTAAAAAGGATATGTTCCAAAACACTTAAAACACATTTAATACATAGTGAGGAGAATTTATCAAAACTGCAGCAGACCAAATCTGGAGCAGCTGTGCATGGCAACCAATTAGCTTTTCTCTTTAGTTTGTTCAGTTAAGATGTGAAAATGAAAGAGAGAAGTGGATTGGTTATATAATCTTTTTATCTAGCCAACGACTGTGTTTATGTCTGTTATTATTTACTACCAGCAAAAAGATTAAATTGAATCTTGGATGGAAAAAAAACAGCTATCCTTATTGTAAACCTTAGTGAATTGTGTCTAGTCTGTTTTGTTGTCAGATACTACTTCTGATTACAACGTGCATATGAAATTTCCAGCACATAGTGAGCAACAGAGCACTAATGAAAACCTGCTTTAAACATCTGAACAGTTTGGTGGTCTTTGGCAAACAAACTGCCATTAGTGACAGCCAAATATTTTACATTTGGACTCATCAGTCCAGAGCACCTGGTGCCATTTTTCTGCACACCAGTTCTTGTGTTTTTGTGCAATGGCGAACTGCTTGTCATGCAGAGGTATGGCTTTCTAGCTCCAAGACTGCAAGGAACTGTAGGTGGGTGTACCAGGGTCACTCTGGTTTCTTCCAAGTCTGACTGAATAGTGCTCATTGACATCTCTTGTTAGTATAAAGGTGCCCATACACTGCTCGATTCTCGTACGAGAATCGGGCGAAATCCCGCGATCGTACGAGAATCGAGCAGTGTGAACTAAGACGTGCAACCGTTTCTACTGTATGGTCGCACGTCTTTTGTCAAGCCAACATGCTCGAAAACCCGCCGAGAATCGTACGATTCTCGGCGGGTTTCTAGCCTGCTCGCCCAATAGCTGCGGAACGGGCCGGTGTGCGCACGCGCACACTGCCCATTCTGCATTGCCGTCATCGGAAGCCCGCCCCTCAGCGGGGCGGGCTTTCGATGATCGCAAGTACGATCTGCCCGTCCAAGGTGGGCAGATCGTACGGGCTTTCAAGAAGCATACGACCATCGCAAGACAAAAGTCTTGCGATGGTCGTAAGGTGTATGGGCACCTTAAGCATGGCTTTTTATCACCAGTTTCATTCCTCCCACACATCTGATTCCATTTGATTTAATGATTGTATTCATCATGCTATCTGGTTGATCATTAGTATCTGGTGTAGTATAATTGTTTAACCCCTTAACCAGTTGACATCCGGGGTGTTAAACCCCCTTCCCATCCAGGCCATTTTTCAGTATTCAGCGCTGCAGTACTTTGACTGACATTTATTCCGTCATGCAGCGCTGTACTGAAATGAATTTTATACCCTTTTTTGGGGACACATAGAGCTTTATTTTGGTGGTATTTATTCACCACTGGGGTTTTTATTTTTTAATATATTAGGGAAAAACTACAGATTTTTTTTTAAAAAAACAGTTCCCCCTATATTAAATTTGTACGGCTGTAGTAACGAGCGGGTCTTTCCTGCCCGTGCGCGCGCTAGGGAGCGCACACGAGCAGGAAAAAAATGCCGTCTGGCGACGGCAACCCGCAGATGCGAGTCAGCCGTCCGTCCGTTTTTTCTTAACGGGCGGACGGCAAGAGGTTAAGGACCAAGCTTCAGATGCTTGTCTTTCAGTTACGGAACAAAGCAGTTTTTGCTGTGTGTGTGTTCAACCGCAATTTCCAACTTTCTCATTTATTGCACCAACACATATATACCGTGTTTTAAAGAACAAAAGGGGCTTTATTTTGATGTGACATATATACATTTTCATATAGTGTATGAGGGAAGCTTAAAACTGTAAGGACCCATGATGGAATAATTCCGTTGTAGATCTTTTTAGTCATCCTCCTATATGGAAATTTTTATGGTCATATGACTTTTCAGGCAAATGTGTTAAAGTGGAACTATGGTCTAAACCGAAAGTTACATATATGATGTAGTCTGTCAATATCAGTAACACAGCATTTTTTGTTTTTCTGAGTCCACCTACTCTGGCTACCCTGTCCACAGGGTGCCACCACTGCTGTATGTTTTTACTGGAGAATAACCAACATTGTCACCCTGTTTAAGGAAGTGGAAAAAAAATGGAAAATTGTATTCATACTGACCAGCAATTTTCCTTTCCTGTCTAGCTCCATAGCAGCACACTAATGGTTAATCACTCTCTCCTCCCACCTATCAGGATCGTATCTAATAAATTTTGCCCAGCTATCCCATCCCACCGTTCTGTAGCTATCCGACTGCATGGGTGGGAATTGTGCTGCCATGGCGCTAGACAGGAAAGGAAAATTGCTGGTAAGAATGAATACAATTTTTTGGTTTTCCTGTCAGCTCCATGTCAGCACACTAATGGCAAATAACTTGCTACACACACGGGGAGAATGCCAGTCAATATTTAATCAATGAGAGTTTGCCGCAGCTGAAAGCACTGTATGGCCAAAATCAACAGTAGTCAGTGCCGCTGAGTCAATACAATAATGGGACATGAAAGTATGAACAGACGACCTTGTGGCAGCTTTACAAATCTTCTCCAAGGACACTCGGCACGCCGCTGCCCAAGACGTCGACACACTTCTGGTTGAGTGCGCAGAGACCCCCTCCGGTATAGGCAAATTTTTGGCTTTGTAGGCCAAGGTGATGGCCCGGACAACCCATGAGGCGATGAGTCTACACGATGCCTTAGAGCCCTTCCTGGCACCTGAAGGAATGACAGAAAGATAATCTGTGGTTCTGATTTCGGCAGTAGATGCAATATACGCTTTTAGCGCACTTGCCACATCCAAGCGATGCACCTGTTCACCATCCGCAGACTGGAAGGTAGGCAAGACGTTTGAAACGACTTTACAACTCTGTTGGCTAGAAACGTAGTGAAGGTTTCTTTAAACCCTAATGCCGCCAGTTTAGAAACCGTCCAGGCTGAAGATATTGCCACCAGAAAGGCCACTTTCAAGGTGAGCTGCCAGAGAGATATTCGTCCTTCAAACGCATCGGAGGCCAGAAAATCCAGTATTAAAGGCAGATCCCATTTAGCGAATATCAGACACTAGTCTGAGTCCCGTTAAAGCCGAAATCGCTGAGACCTGTCCCTTGAGGAAACTAATACTGAGACCCATGTCCAACCTGATGTGGAGGAGTTTCAACACATGAGATATCTCAGAGGCAAAATCCTGGAACTTTTTCCAAACTCTGTTGTATGTGGTTCGTACTGTGTTTCCGAGAGCATAAGAGCGTGTTGACAAGTTTAGCAGAACAACCGAGACTCAAGAGTCTCCTCCTCTCAAGATCCAGGCCGTAAAAAACAAAGCTTGGCTTGTGCAGGATGAAGGATTGGGCCCCGAGATAGAAGATTCACCAGGGACGGCAATGGAAACGGAGTCTGTGTGCTCATCCGGTGAAGCAGGGGATACCACGGCCTCCTGGGCCAGTTGGGAATGACCGCCAGGACGGTCACTGGTTCCCTCCGGAGCCTTCTCAGAAAACCGTGAATGAGTGGAACCGGGGGAAAGGCATACGCTGTGTGGATTGACCACTTCGCTGTCAAGGCATCCGTGGCTATCGCCAGTGGGCAAGGAAACCTCAAGTAGAACCTGTTCAACTTGTAGTTGGCTGGGGATGCAAATAGATCTATTTCCGAACAAAATGCCCAAGTCGTCAATTGATGGAACACTTGAGGAAGAAGCGACCATTCGTTATTGTCCAGTGTGACCCTGGAAAGGTAATCCGCATGTTGGTTGAGGGGCCAGGTGCATATACAGCGGACAGGTAGAGAAGATGGACCGTGGCCCATTCCAAAATCGGAGTCACTTCCTTCATTAAGGAGATGTAGGTCACCGCCGTGTTGTGGTCTATTTTCAACAGAACAGCTTTGCCCAGAACCAGACTGTAGAAGGCAAGTAGCGCCTGAAACACCGTCCTCAATTCCAAAATATTGGAGACCATCACTTTTGCGGGAAATGTCCACTGAGCCTGAGCCACTTGACCCGCACAGCTGGCTCCCCAGCCTTACTCGCTGGCGTCCGTGGAGATCATCACCCACTCCGTCGGATATAGCGACTGGCAACGGAGTAGATTCTGTTCTTCCAGCCACCAGACGACGTCCTCCTTCATTCGGTTTGTGACTCAAATCAATTGAGCGAGGTCCTCCGATTCCCACTGCTTCAAAAAATCCATCTGAAAGGGGCAAGACCTCCACTGAGCCCATTTGACCATTGGAATGGTGGATATCATGGTGCCCACTACTTGCAGGCACTGAGTGGCTGAAAGAAAAACGGACGATAGGACCGGTTATAATAGACTCAAAATGAACGGGATATTTTCTGCAGGAAGGGTGACTGAATTATGCACAGTATCTACAATGGCACCCAGGTACACGAGGCCCTGTGTGGGGGAAAAGGTGGCTCTTCTCCTGATTGATCAGCCACCCGAACTGCTCCAGAATGGAAACCACCAGTGTGAGGTGTGATAGCAGTGTTGCTCGACTTTGGTGCAAGAGAAGAATATAGTCGAGAATTTAAACATTCTAAAAGGAGACACCTCAAGTAATATGGAAATATAACGGTCCCTGTGCCAACAAATGGCCTCTGTGACTCGGGCCCTCGATGAAATAAAGGATGGGAATTTTCAGCTGGACGGGCGAGTCACTGCTATGGCCAATGCCTCTATCCTGGACCCCGTGCAACCAGCGGAAGTCCCAACAACACCTTCTCCCGTGCCTGAACCCCGTGTTCCTACGCCCGAACGCTTCTCAGGAGATCGCCACAAGTTCCGGGCCTTCAGGAACGCCTGCCGCCTATATTTTGCCCTGCAATCTCGGACCTTCTCTTCTGAGACCACGAAAGTTGGGTATGTTATTGCCCTACTATCAGGTGAACCCCAGTCATGGGCCCATCACTTGCTG